TGTGGGCGGGGCTTCCGCGGCGGAAGCTGGGAGGACAGCGGGGGCGGAGGTGTCTCCGGGGAGGAAGGCCCGGCCTGTGCGGAGGCTCCTCTGGGAGAAAAGACGCAGCGAGAGTCCCCGGGGAATCCCCCACCCGCCCCCAGTCGGGGACCCCGTCGCGCCTGCTCGGGACGAGCTCCAGGCGCCAGTTGCTATAGGCAACCAGCTCTGGTGACCAACTGGTCCCGGTTGCCCGGGTTATGCTGGTTTAGCGCTGGCAGGATCGCGGGCCCGCAGCCCGCCGAGGTGACGCTATCCTGCCCCCTGCGGCTCCACCCAGAGTAGGCCCGGGAGACTTTTTAATATGGGGCTTTTTCTTTTTTTTAACACTACCTGTTTAATATTAGGGTGAAGGCACCCCGCAGACACTCTCCCGACCAAGCCCTGGCATGTCAGCACTTCAGTGGAGCCTTCCTTCCTAAAGGTGGGAAGAATACCGGGGGTACATCTTCCTTCATGTGCTGTCCTGTCTCAGCCCGGCTGTGGGGCGGTCAGGGTGAGTCTGTGCTCTGCTCAGAGCTTTGACAGTAGAGACCAGTTTGGGAGTTTCTCCCACACCCTGCACCCCAGGATTCAGATAGCCAGCCAGAACAGCCGTGAACTTAAATGTTCCCATCAGTTGTCTATCATTAAGCTGGGAAAATCTACAGGTAGTTAGAAAATATGATAGGTTCCAGACATAAATGTCCAATTTTTTCCCCTTTCCTAACGCACAGAGCCTCGTGGTGGATCAGCTGTTTGCCTTCCCCATTCAACGGGAAGGATGAAAGCTCTACCTAAAAACAGGATGTGAGCGGAAGAGACCTGTCATTGTGAGTCTGGCTGCTGCTTGTCACTGATGTCATCCCCAGGGTGACATGACCTCGTAACCATAAACCTAAGTGGCTGCAGTTAAGGTACAGAACTGGCCGTTCTTGACATTGCTTCTCTGTTTGGTCTTGGACACCTTTGAGTCACGTTGGGAAGGATGAGTATTTCTCATGTGGCCTTAATGAGTCAATTCATAATGTCGCTGTTATTACCCAGATGTCAGAAGGAAATTAGAAATCAGGTCATGCTCTTAGTTTTTACATTGGGGTCAGGTTCCATAAGAGATGGAGGAATAATTTTCATGATTTTTTTTTTTCGCTTTTTCAGGTACCCTCCCCAAGAAATTGATTGGAAATGGGGAAAGCAAACTGTAGTTTGGTGTGGCCCCTCTAAAGCATAAGTACTGTATTTTTCCATGTATAAGACACCCCCATGTATAAGACACCCCCCCACTTTTCCAACCCAAAATTAAGAAATCAGTATTTTAAACATTTTGCTGGTTTTCCTCTTAAGGCCTTCTTTTTTGGCATCTTAAGGAGTTGTTCTTCCTGTTTTCTCCATTGTCTGATCATACACTCAGTGGGAAGAGGTTCAAATTGTCTGTCTGCAGCTCTGTTTCCATGCTCTTTTGCATAACTGATGACATTCAGTTTGAATTTTGCAGAGTAAGACAACCACTGGCATTTATCTTTTTTTTTTTTTTTAACATCTTTATGGGCTCACAACGCTTTGGTCCCTGTTGCATCTTTGCACTCTCCACCTCCACCTCCAATTACAGCATCAGGTGACATCAGTAACAATAAGGCTCGTGATTGGAGGAAATCTGTTTGACAAGGTATGGGCAGCTACACACCTGCACGGCTCCCTCCTTGGCTGACTTCTGTGTATAAGACATTCCTCGATTTTCAGTATAACGATTTTAGAAAAAAAAAAAAAATAGAGTCTTATACACGGGAAAATACGGTAGTCAGACATTCCATTTTGGGAGAAATTAGAGGCGTGTGTGGAGGACAGGTAGATTGAAGTCTCCGGCGTGGATATACATTTTATGTTTGACTAGCTCGGTCTTCTTGGTAGATGAAAACGGTACGGCACTCGGAACAGACACTTAGAACAGCTCTCATCTCAAAGAACCCAGCACTTGTGTCCCAGTATGAGAAGTTCGATGCAGCAGAGCGGCGTTTGATGAACGAAGCCTTCCGACCAGCCAGCGATCTCTTCGGGCCCATCACCTTGCATTCGCAGTCAGATTGGATCGCCTCCCATCCTGAGCCTCCCCAAGACTTTGAAGAGTTTTTCAGTGATCCTTCCAGAAAGACACCCTCTCGAGAGAAACACAGGATTTATATACAGTGCATTGGTATATACTATCACATGCTGCATTTGGTGTGGTTGTGCTGTGGTGCCGTTGCCTGGGATAGTTTGGGCTGTTCATCTCATTCCATAGTGGAAGTTTTTAGCCAAACTGTCTTAAAAGAAGATATTTTGTTTCTAAATCAGATTCGTGTTATTGAATGATAAATGTGTTTTGAGAATTTAGATTTAATTTGTTTCTAATTCCAAGCCATAATTATAGACTGAGGTAAAGACTGAGTATTTTAATCATCCTAACGTCTGTCTCTAAATTTTCTTCCATATTATAGGATCTCTAGGAAATACCAGAATTATCAGCGAAGAATATGTTAAATGGCTCAAGGGCTACTGTGAAGCATTTTTCTATGGCTTAACAGTGAAACTCCTAGAACCAGTCCCTGTCTCTGCAACAAGGTGTGCCTTCAGAGTCAATGATAGCACGGAGAACCTACAGATACATGCAGGTGAATGAAACAACTTCACAATTTTAATTGAGTCCAGGATGTGGAGATATATATAGATAACACACGTACATATCTTTTTGAATAGGGCACATCCTGCACTTCTTGAAAAAGAAGAAACCTGAAGATGCCTTCTGCATTGTGGGAGTAACGATGATTGATCTTTACCCCAGAGACTCCTGGAATTTCGTCTTTGGACAGGCCTCTTTGACAGATGGTATTCCTTTTTGGCTTTGTTTGTAGAAACTTTCTGAACCTGAGAATATTGGAAGATGCTGAAAAAGGGAAAAAAATTCCATTATAATTTTGATGAAGGATATTTGAACTCTCATTAACTTAAGTGAAAATCTTGCTTAATTGTTTTTTTAACTTTTTGTGGTCATTTTGCATAGATGGAAGAGCCACACATGGCTTTATAAGTGCGTGCTTGTCCTGTGTGTGATTTTATTTTAAAAGAAAATAATTTGTTATTTTATTTTTAAAAGTAAGCTTCAGTCTGTTATTGGAGATACAGTAAACTTTGACTCATTAGAAACTCTGCATGGTAATGTTGGGGGTGGGAAAGGATCCAGAAGAAAATCATAATTTTTGCCTATTTTTTTTTTTTGTCTTCACTTCTGTTCTCCTACGCATCCTTTTTTTAAAAAAAATCTTCACTTGAGGATATGTTTATTGATTTTAGAGAGAATAAGGGAGAGAGAGCGAGAGAGAGAGAGAAAATAAAGAAAGAAAGAAAGAAAGAAAGAAAGAAAGACAGAAAGAAAGAAGGAAGAAAGAGAAAGAAAGACAGACATTGATCGGTTGCCTCCTGTACGTACCCCGACTGGGGATTGAATCTGTAACCTAGGAATGTGCCCTGACTGGGAATTGAACCCCAAACCTCTTGGTGGTGTTTGGGACAACACTCCAACCAACTGAGCCACCCAGCCAGGGCCCTCATGTCCATTTTTGCTCTTATTTCTCTACCCTTAGCCCCAGGCTCAGAGACCCGTTTGAAGGGGAAAGGTCCTGGTACTTGCCCACCATCCCCAAAACTAAGGGGAGTGGTTGTCCATTAATGTTTTGGGGATGGTGGGCAAGTACCAGGACTGTACTTTATGATACCAACTGTATGGACTGTCTGGATCACATATTAGCCTCCCTCTGACAAATGTTTCTACTAGCTGTCTCCTTCTCTTACCCGAATTCATCAGAGGTACGGGCCCAGGACACTACCCCTTCATCCTCAATTCTCCAGTATTTTCTTATGGCCCCCATTCTTCCCATGACCCTACCAGTACACTCTCTTGGAGACTTGGGTCACTGCTGTGTTCCTGGGTTGCGCTGTCTTTCTATCAAAAATGAACTTGTATGAGCTAAATTTTTTTCTCTCCTTTTATTTTTAACCTGGTAGAGATGGAAAAAGTTTTAAAATTAAAACTATTTATGTAGATACTAGAGGCCTGATGCATAAAATTCATGCAAGGGGCTTGGCCCTCGCAGCTGCGGCACCCGCCTTCAACTGGAAAAATGCATAAAATTCGTGCAAGGGGCTTGGCCCTCGCAGCAGCGGCACCCGCCTTCAACTGGAAGGTCGTTTGGCTGCCCGGTCTAATTAGCATATTGCGCTTTTATTATCATAGATTGCTGGCTAATTTATCTTGTACAGTTGAGGAGGTCAGGAAGCATTCCTCCAAAACGTTTCTACTTTAATTTTTTTAAGTTTCGTAAATACTGCATCACATACAAGAAACAGTAGCAAGCCAGCAGCATTGATCTGCCAGGCAGTGAGACAGTATCTTACAAGTGACTTTATTCTCTCCAGGTTTACAAAGATTTGTGCTTTTAAATTGAGAAATGTTTAATTATAAAGAAAACAGTCTTCTATTTGTAGAATCATTAGGACGCATTCCCCTGAAATGCTCTTACCAAAGGTATTGTCGTAAAATACGCCCACACTTTTTGGCCAGAGGAGGTTACTTGCGACACATGAGTAGATTCAGTTTCCTTCTTAACTTCCAGAATGTTTCCTTCTCCCTAAATTTCAAATACCAGTGGACACTTTCCAAGGAAGGTTCTTTCTGAATCAAGTTGGATTGGACAAACTTACTATGAAATCATTTCCGTAACAAAAAGGCTCCTTATGACTTTCAAATAAGAACTGAAAGGCATAACTAACTGTGGTAATGTAAACAAGTCAGATTATAAGGCAATCCTCATTAGAATGAGTTGAAAATCATACTCTGTCCCCATGTGTGTGAAGATGGTTTAGACAAGCCTAAGACCTAACACAGGAAGTCAGTTACAAGAAGGTTTATTCTGGTCCCCTGACTCCAGCCACATAACAGAGTTGTGCTGTGCCTAAGAAGGGGGAGGGGGGAAGAGGTTCTGTCTTTTGTCTAAGGGTGCGGGCATGGTCTCCACGGCCTCAGGGGCATGGCATGAGGGAAGGAAAGGCCCCCTCACTGACTCATAGGTCATGGAGATCTGTTTATTGTGGGGTTTTAAAAAATATATTTTCATTGATTTCAGAGAGGAAGGGGGAGAGAGAGAGAGATAGGAACATCAATGATGAGAGGGCCATTGATCAGCTGCCTCATGCACGCCCCACACTGGGGATCGAGCCCGCACCCTGGGCATGTGCCCTGACTGGGGATGGAACCTGACCATTCATAGGTCGACGCTCAGCCACTGAGCCATGCTGGCTGGGCTTTTTATCGTGTTCTTAAAGAGAAAAGTCATGAGCGTGTGTTGTTCGTATGATTATTTTCATTGCTCTTTCTGGAGTACTTGATTTGGACTATTCTTTGAGAAAAAGACTTCTTTTGTGGGAAAACCAAACCCTCCATAACTTCCAGTGTGTCAAGAATTTGACAAAAGACAACTGAGCTTTACAAGGCAGGACACATTGGACAGTAGAAGAAAGTTTCGAGAGGGAAATCTGGGTCAAAGTCCTCCTTTGTCTTGGCAGACCTGAAGCATATTGGGCTCCGTGAAGGCAGGAGCACTCCCTGGCCGGACGCCCTTCAGGAATCTGACTGTCATTCTGCTGTCGCTTGTCCTCTTTCCGTAGGTGTGGGGATATTCAGCTTTGCCAGGTATGGCGGTGACTTTTACAGCTCAAGCTACAAAGGCAAAGTGAAGGCGTCGCAGAGACAGTCTTCGCGTGACTATTCGGTGTTTGATAACTATTACACTCCTGAAGTGACCAGTGTTCTGCTGCTTCGGTCCTGCAAGGTGAGTTGTTTACAAAATCTAACAGGATTATTAGTAAAGAGGTCTTAATTCCCTCCACTGCACATCCACGCTCCTTAAGGTAATATTATCAATGAGCTTGTATCACTTGCCTGTTTTTGGTGGCTATTGCTTGACTGAAATAATGGATACCTTAATATTGAAATGTACAGTACCTGTGCCCGTTTTGTGTCCTGTTAGTTATATGCAGCCTTGGCTGTGGCCACATCCTCACCATTAGTTTAATTCCGAAATTCTGTAGGAGTAGGTAGCCCACCCTTTCAGGCTGCTGCTGGCCATCAAGGAAAGCTGCCTTCCTGGGGCCTGGAGGGTTAAGGAGAAAGGCCTTCCTCTTGGTCTCCAGGCTCCCTTCTCCTGCCTTGGTCCTACTGACAGTTCCTGATGTCTCCCCCGCCACTGCTCTTGGAAAGCCTGTCTCCTCGTATTGTTGATATGATAGCCGGGGACATAGGCTTTTCTGCTTTTCCCAGCACTATCTGTGGGGTTTGACAACATCACCTCATAGAGCAGTGTTTTCAGGGAACATTCCCTGCATCGGCTTCACCTCATGTGCTTGTTAACATCCAGGTCAAGCCCCTCCTCCCAGACCCACTGACACAGCATCTCTGGGGGAAGGGCCCCAGGCTGTAAATGGTTACACAGGCTCACAACTAGCAGCAGTCTCACCACCCAGAGATCATTTGGCCATGTGGGGGGATATTTCTGGTTGTCACAGTTGGGGAGTGGGTGCTACTGGCATCTAGTAGGGAGAGTTCAGGGGTGCTGCTAAGTATCCTTCAGAGCACAGGATAGCTTCCTTCCCCCAAAGAATCTTCCCACCCAAAGTATCAGTAGTGTCGAAATTGAGAAACCCTGGTCCGGTAATTAAATGGTTAAGTGTAGTGAAGAAAGCAGGAAGACATTTAAGGAGATGAGGGGTTAAGTCTTTGGGCAGATTGAAGTTTGGGGGATGATGGTAAGGGAATTGATTCCTACAAATCTGTTTCTTAGAAAAGTAAGGAAAAAGCAGGGGTGTGTAGCTTATTGTTGATGATGGTGGCTCTATAAAGCCTCAATGTGAATGTCTTGCAGACTTTAACCCACGAGATTGGACACATATTTGGACTTCGACACTGCCAGTGGCTGGCATGCCTAATGCAAGGCTCCAACCACTTGGAAGAAGCTGACCGGCGCCCCCTAGATCTGTGTCCCATCTGTTTACGCAAGTTGCAATGTGCTATTGGCTTCAACATTGTAGAAAGATACCAAGTAAATTGGGGTGGGGTCGTCAGAAGGGAGAAGTGGTTATATAAATAGCAAACTATGATTTTATATTAGGCTTCTCTGGAGCTGTCATTTATCAGAGGAAATTAGTGCAGAGATAAGCAGGAAGCTGTGGTAAAAAAAAAAAAAAAAGAGAAATATCCTCCTTAAAAACTTGACTTGCCTTACACTTGTAGTTCATGAGCAGTGGTGGAAGAGGTTTCTGCATTTGCCATTCATTTATGACAAGAGAGCCTGAATCTTCAGAACAGAATAAATGTTGATGCGTGTGCAAAGTTCCTTTTTAAAAACTATAAAAATGTTGAGGTGATTCACCTTACCAAATATGGAACACAGGTATAGTCATTACGAGGAAAAGATGATTTTAAGAAGGAAGAGGGAAAGTACATAATCTCAGTATGTGTGAAGGTATGTGTGTCCTCACGTGCCCACAAACATCAACACTACTCATGGTACAACTACCCATGCAGGTAACTGCATTACATGTCTACATGTACCTTCATATGTCTACACTTAACCTATGTGTATGCATTCACATCAAATCAAAAGCATAGTTTAATGCCTTGTGGGACATTTAGCAAGTTGAGAAAACAATATTCTCCCACCCTAAAAAACTGTGAGGATTAGTGTATTTTTCATCTTTTCTCCCATGCATATGTGACTATAATTTATAATCATAGTTAGCATATTTTGGGTGTATATTTGTTCACTCAGTATGTTAGCATAAGTGTTCTTTTCATATTCATAACCATCTTTATCAAATGGAACATCTTTATGGGTAATCTAAGTCACCGATTTAGAGAATCTGATTTAGAAGCCAGTGTTTTTCTCTTGCCTAAAACTATTTGCTGTGCTTTGTTAAAATATTAATCTCTTTTCTTCTTTTCAAGGCACTGGTGAGGTGGATTGATGATGAATCTGCTGACACACCCCGAGTTACTCCGAAACATAGTCATGACGGTAATGTGAATTTGCCCAAACCTGTGGAAGCCTTTAAGGAGTGGAAAGAGTGGATAATAAAATGCCTTGCTGTTGTCCAAAAATAAGAACCTTCAAATAGGAGTAATTAAAATCCTTGCACATCATGCTTTCTTTTGTATGGAGTGCTTCATTGGAATAAACTGTTTACTGATTCTGCCCTGTATCATGGTGTAAGCATGACTTTCATATGCACTGGGAACCCCAAAATAGTGATTTCACTCACTTGATTGTGATATTCCCTTTATTGCTGTGGTCTGGAACCGGACCCCCAATATCTCTGAGGTATGCCTGTAGTTACAGTGCTAAACGAACTCTGACTTGGCAGAGGTGTGGTATTGGGGTTACAGTTATTTAGACAATATCTAATGCCCATTTGTACCTACTCTGCACTGTGAGCAGGACAAAGAAACAAGTCATTTAGTCTTGTTAAAAGTTGGACAAACATGAGCTTTATGTAACAGGCATTTATTCAGCAACCATCACCTAAATATTGTGTATAACTAGTGGTTGTGGGTACCTCTGGGCAATTTGTTAGGGTTAAGATTTGTTTACTGCAACTATGTCTTATGCCCTATCCGTAATCTTTGTAGTTGTTAAGCATGAAATCCATGTAAATTTTGCTCTGCAAATGCTGAATGAAGAAAACCAAGTGAATCCGAAGTGCTATGCACTTTGGTGCCGGTGGAATTAGTAGTATCTCTCGGGTCAAGGGAAGGATTAAGTGTTAACATTTCATTCCGCCGAGACTGAAGAGGGGTGGGCGGTGGTTTAAGTAGAAGGTGGCCAAGATCCTACTTAGAGTCTAGTCCCCGGCTTGTTCTTGGGACCGCAAATTCACCTGATGTGAATACTTTTACATTTCTAACCCTCAGAGGACCCGAGGGCGGGCTGGTATCCTCCTGGGAGCGAGCCCGCTAACCCCAGGCGGGCCGGGCTGGC